AACATCACATTTGATAACCATGTGGTGTACCTGGCTTCCTGCACACACTCGGCCTCTATCAGCTTGTCGACTTCTAGACGCAGTGCTTTCTCTTTCTCTGGAGTCAAATTCCATCTTTTTTGTTGGACAGGCTTTTTCCCCTCTTCCACTACCAATCTGTGCGCTGCTATTTCCAGAAATATGCATGTCATCTCTTGCGTGCTCCATGCAAACAACTCTCCGAACTCGTGCAGTAATGCAATTAGGGGCATCACTAAATCAGTTGGGTCCTTAGCCGAAATTTTCACTTGTCTATCTAGGCACCTCTCGTCCAATGCAACGATGAGTTCTTCATCGACCGTTTCCGCTCTGGGCTCCTCCTCCGGTCGAGCATTTACATTGTTCTCCCACCATTACCTCTTGTGTGCTCGGGCTCCACAGCCTAATCTAGTTCGAATGGGGGCGGAAGGAGCATGGTGGTGTCTTCTCCTCAGCCCGCTTCTCTGCACACCTCCTTAGCTTCCCTTGCCATGAATGTCCAGTGGGCTCTCTCATCCGTCCTTTTCACAAAATCATTGAGCATACCTCTATCGGTCAACGCTTACCGCTCTGTCTTAAATTGCTAGCAATTGGTCGTATGATACCCCTTCTCTCGGTGAAAGTCACAATAGCGATCCAGATTTTGCTCGTTAGGTTGGCCCCTCATTGGTCCCAACCACCTTATGTGATACCCTCTATCTTTCACGAATTGCAACACGTTTTCAAGAAATCATTATATATATCATAAATTGACCTATGTTCTTAAGTGGCTAGAGCTGCGCCTCTGCCCTCCTAGGTGCCAAGGGTCCCGCGGGTGTTGCCCTGATTTTTTGCCCTAATTCTCAATCCTCTCCTTTACTTTGCCGCCTCTTTGCTCTTCTTGCTGCCAGTGATTCCTCCAACATAATAATCTTCTGTACCCTCCTATCTAAATCTTCCATGGTGGTCACATCCCTTTTGAAAGTGATCGACACAATTGTTCGCTTGTTGTGCATTCATCCAAGCAGTACCCTAACACTGGATTCTGCACATCCTTCACTACCATGGTGATGGGTACCCATTGATCATAGAATTCCCTACGCGTCTTGCCTTCCTTCTGTTTGATTTTAACACGGCTCCTATTGTCAATGTCCGACGCTTCCTACTCGCAAACTTAGACACAAAAAGCTCGACAAATTGTTCGAAGTTGTCTATGCCGCCTTCCTCAATCTTATGGTACCAATCTAACACAACTCCCACAAACATAGACGGGAACACCTTGCAGAGCGTGGAATCAGAGTTGTTATACAATTGCATTTTTTTGAAGTAGTTGTTTAGATGATCATCCGAGTCAGTGGTTCCGTCGTCGATCGCCAAGGGAGAATCGCTGTTCCTGCTGTTTCACACAAGATATTGCGCACCAATGGATGTCGTACTCAGAGGCGCCTACCAATGTGCTTATGAGCCCATCCATTGTGTTCGTCAAAATTTGACGTCATTTGGTCGACCAAGTGCCCCATCGTGTTAGGGCGCCCGAAGTGTGTGTACTCTCCCTCGTCAAACCCTCTTCCTCTCTTCTTTGTGATGGGATTCTACGCCATTGCATCTTCCCCCCCCCCCCCCCCACCCTTCCAACTCCCTTTCTAAAGTCGCTATAGCGATCTTGGTAAGCTATTATCTGAAACATGTCCCTCCTAGACATTGAGTCGCCTTTCGTATCTTGATGCTCGCAACTCTCTTTCCCTTCCATTTCTATGCTACGCCCTTGAGTTGGGGTTTGCTCTTTAGCCCCTTGTCACGAGTTCCCTTGCATCGGCCATCGGGCTTCCTCCATTGCCCTCTTCTTCGCTAGGTGACTCCATGCTAACTAAAAGTCCTTCCCCTTCCTAGCACGCCAATTGTTTAGGCCATGAAACCCAATCCACATGGCACCTTTAAGCAACGTCTACCTCGAGTACGTCCGGACGCCCAGATCCTACACACAAGGGTGCATAGGGGCTACAAGGCATGCTAGCACTCTAACGATCAAGTCAGTGTTATATTCTAGAGAGATAAGTGAATGAGCGAGCTTTTAGTGAGAGTCCAAACTGCTTAAATGCCACCTACCAGGCACTATTTATACTCATCGAGAATCCAACCGAATCTCTGGAAATCTGCCTTACGTCAGCACCACATTAATTCCTCCGTATAGTGCAACGTCTAGGCGCCCTGTCACAGTGTCAGCTTTTCTTCTCCCTGTCGGGGCGACCAGTCGGGGACCATTCTAAGGTCGTACTTCTTTGGCCACATGCCCATTTTGTCGTTATGTGTATAGGTGTCAATCGGGCGGGTTCGGGTCGGGTTGTGGGTTAATCGGGTTGCGGTTCAAGCGGGTTGCGGGTTGATTGGGTTGCGGATCAATCTGGTTATGGGTTGATCGGGTTGCGGTTCAATCGGGTTCGGGTTGATCGGATTGCGGGTTACAACAGGTCGGGTTGCGGGTTGTTCGGTCTAAACCATCGAGTTTTTTTATAATTAGTTACTACACTAATTTAAAACAAACTCAATGATCACCATATTGCAATGAAAAAAACATGAAGATAGATTATTAAACAAATGAGTGACTAGATTTTGCTTGAATATATCATAAACAAGTTTGATTTTGCAGAGGATTCATTAAGGTTACAGAACCAACATAAGAAATTAAAAAGCTGATAACTTGCTTGATCATAAACCTATGAAACAATCTCTTGAGTCTTGATAGTTGAGACCATTACATGATGTTTAAGCAAATATAATAGAATGAAATACAGAAAAGTACATAAGGCTCCATTAATCTTGAAGATTTCTCTTACTACACATCTTAAGATGCCTCCACAGTGAAACTGTCCCATTCTTATTAGGATAGCATCCAAAAACCTTCATGCAATGGTTGCATTGAAGCTTGACCTCCCCCTCTGATTCAACTTGAGCAAAATTCTCCCAAATTTTGCTTCTTCTAGCCCTGGCGTCCACTGCTTCTGGAAAAAAGAAACGAAAAAAAAAAAGAATTGCATAATCAATCAAACAACAAACACAATAACATGACTGCTGAAATTTCATCTAGGCGTGGTCTGGATGCAGGTTTTTAATTTGAAGGGTTTGCATACAGTTGGCACTCTTGACAATTGTATTGGCAAAGAACCACTACCAATAATTCAATCTCTTTTCCCAGAATTGAGAAACCCTCACTAACGAAAATGCTACAGCTCACAGTAAGCCTAACAATGAACTTCTAAGTCCTAACTTCTAAGTTCTAACCACCCTGTCCATGTAGCTGAAACCAAACGATCCCCACAAGTTTATAAAATGTTGAAACACTGAACAATAAGTGAATGGAGTTGAAAAATCAGTATAGAAATACTGGACATCAAGCGAATCAAACTAGGGATTGCAAGACACAATTCACCAAAGATACTAATGCATACATGTAGTTTAACATCCATGTTATAGTTGTACTTCAGAATCATCAAACAAGAAAGGCTAAAATTTGTATATTCATTCACTGTGGCTTGTTCCTTAGTCTTGTTCCTTAGTCGTGGCTTTTACAAAGTGCCAAACACTCACTTCAAAATACAGCCAAACCAAACCCCTGCTGCTGAATTTTCCATCCAGCCAAATAGCACAATCATCTGGTTCCTTATTTTCTTTCTTTTTTGCTTTGTTACAGAATGAAGATTCGAGAGAAGGAGACATGTACCTGAGAATGGCAGGGAAACCCGGAGCCGGCGGCTGACGACGAGGGAAACCCAGCCGCTTCCGCCTCAACCACGCCGCCCCGCGACTCTCTGCTTCTTTGCCGTCCTTTGCTGCGTTCTTCTTCCGCTTCCTCTGCTTCTTGTTCTTCTTCCGCTTCCTCTGCTTCTTAATTTCAACCACGATTCCGTCAATAACAACAACGGCGGCGACAACAAGGCGGCAGAGGGGAAGGAGAAGGAGAAGAATCGCGTGGGAAGACCGATTGGGAGGGTTTTTTTACCGATTGGGAGAGAGGCACAAAAAGGGATAAGGGAAAGTTGCCGAGACAGAGAGAGAAGGCGCAGGGAAGACAGATATTTTTTCCGATTTTTCCTTCTCAATTGATTAAAAAAGAAAAAATATTGTTAATAATATTTCTTTTTTGTCACGGAAAATTAGGTTGGGATGGGAGGGAATTTTAAATTTTGGATCAAATATTGGGGGAGATGGGAGGGAATTTTCAATTTTGGATCAAATATTAGGGGAAGGAGGTTTATGGGAGGGAATTTTTTAAAAAATGAGTTTGCAAGGGAATTTTTGAGCAAATATTTGGGGGGTTTTGAATTTTGCATTCGAAAAATTTCCATAAACATCTAGTTCTTCCTTTCTTTGATATTTATTATTATAGATGGTAAATTTTATACCGATTAACTAGTTTGTTGTTCAATCCGTTGGTCGGAATGTCATTTGAATATGATATATTTAAGATGCAATTGTTAAAATCAAATTAATTAATAAACTATAAAAATCAAAATATCCAACATAAAGGATAACCATGAATAAACCCTAAACCTATACCCTATACTATAGTTATATGTTATGAAATTGTTAGTATAAGCTATAACGTATGTTATGTGAAGAATGTAAGTTGAGTCAATTTTATATTCGGTTAGAGAAGAACATATGTCCTATGACTCCAAACTCTATACCACGAGTCCACTACCGTACATAAGTTGTTGTGGCTTGATGTGCCAACAAGATGGAATTCAACTTACAATATGATTGATCGAGCAATCTTTTATCGTGAAGCTTTTGTCAATTTAGCAAGGATGGATAATGAGTATAAGGATTGTCCATCAAATAATGATTGGGAGAAAATGGAGGTGCTTGCAAAATTTTTGAAGCCATTTGATGACATCACGAAGTTATTCTCGGGAACCAAGTACCCAACAAGTAACTTGTTTTTCGAGAATGTTTGGAAGATCCATCTTGAGTTGAAGAATCTTTGTATAAGTTTTGATGATGATATGAGAGATATGGGAAACACAATGATGTCCAAGTTCTTGAAATATTGGAAAGACTACAACTTAGTGCTTGCTTTTTGTATCATTTTGGATCCTCGTTACAAGCTTGCATTTGTCAAATTTTGCTATGAAAAGTTGGGGGAAGAGTACACTTCAAAGCCGAAGGCTATTATGGATGATTTGGAGCTGCTCTTTAAGGAGTACAAAACTCAAAGTCAAAGTGTGGTGCATATGGCTTCTCTTAGCATTCCTTTGGATAACCACACTGCTGTAAGTATAGTTTTCTAACTACCTTTTGAGTCATCTTGTTGTTTATACTCCTTTCGATCTTATGTCTGATTATTAATGATATGTAGTTAGATCAATTATTTTCAGGGTTTCTATGCTTCCATTATCAATCAGAACACATCAACTAGATCCGAGTTGGAATTATATTTGGCGGATCCTTTAAATCCTGCTTATGCAGACATTGGTGGGGTTCCTACATTGCTTCCTGTTGAAGTATTGCAATATTGGAAGGATCATCAATTTCGATATCCTCAACTCTCTCGGATGGCAAAAGATGTGCTTCTATTCCAATTTCATCAGTTGCTTCAGAGTCGTCTTTTAGTTTGGGAGGTAGAATATTATCCACATGGAGGACTTCCATTTCGTCTGATACTCTTGAAGCTGTTGTGACAACTCGTAATTGGATGCATGGATATAAAATGGGTAAGAAAATTTTTATTCTTTGTGTATACTAAAGTAGGTGAGAGTTTACTTACAATGGTGTATTTACTTTCAATGACTAATTGTACATATGAGGATAATGAAGATGCAGAATATGATGGAGAAGAAGTGAAGCTTGTTGCTTGATCGCCTAGTGAATTGTCATTTTAATTTGTGATCCTATTTTGTTGGTATGTAAGATGTGACAATGTCAGCTATGGATTTGTATCCTAATATTTTTTATATGGTAGAACTTAGTAAGCAAACTATTATGTATCTTCTTATTATTGGGGTTCGGGTATGAGTTATGACTTATGTACTATTATGAATTTTCGTATGCTAGGTTAATATTTTGACAATGTTATGTGACCAGTTATATTATGTGTGGAAGAAAAAATGTTGTAATTATTAGGTATTGGTATATGATTGGCTTAATTAAGTCAATCATGTTTTTCATATGTATGTGTTATCTATATATAATATATTATTTATATACATCAACCAAATGTAAAAAAATGCTGACAACTCTCCTAAGATTTCTACTTATCTACCGAGACAGTGAGACTATTTTGTGATTCAATTAAATGGCAGTTTTTATTTGTCAACACAAAGTAAACATTTCTTCTTGGTGGGAAAGATGAAAAAATAATAGGGCAAGTCACCTAAACTTTAATTTACCCAACTACCAGGATGTAACAGCTCCTGATAGCTCCATGTATTCCTTGAATAATTAACTTATCATTTTTAAAAAAAATATTTTGTAGCAAATTTTATAAGTTCATACAAACATTGTGGCTTTTCACATGTATTTAAATTATTGGATGTATTATAGACACATCTATTCTTAATATCTAAACATACATATACAGAGAGTTTATTTTACTTTCAACACTAATTAATATCTTTGAACTCAACTCCTTGGCTGGAATATCATATTAATTTTTTTTGTTATTGCCAAATTTTGGTACGAAATCCCAGGATCATAACTATATAGGCTTGTTACAATTTTCTTACTAAACTCATATTTATTAAATATTCTTCTTTTGACCCAATAGCTCGGTTTACACTATTGTAACTATAATTTTTTTCTTATATATGTGAAGTAAAACATTAATGTTTATTTATTACCTCAATCGTCTAATTTAGATTTTTCTTAACATTAAATGTGATGTTTAACGTACATCCTTAAGAAAGATTTTTCTAAATTTCACATATTTCATTTTTCAAGGGATCTCGTGTCTCATCCTAGAATATGACCTCAAAGTTCATCAACTATTATACTCAAGTCATTTTGGAAACTTCAATTTATAATCTTTAACAATAAATAAGTTCAATAGAGCTTGCTCAATCAACATGACCTAGAGAAAATATTAGGAATGTGAACTTAGGATACATTATAAATACTGCACATGCGATTCATATGTTTTCACTTGATCAGAATGAATAAGAAGCTTTTTTAATAAATAACTACTATTTCTTGGTCAAGTTTCTTTCAGACTTTATCGACATAATATTATTTTTTTTGTGTGTTTGTTTACATTATTCATTAAAATGTAAATTATTGTTAAGTTTTAGTAAAAATGAGTAAAAATTTACATAGTAATCTTTAATCATATATATTTTTTGTTTAAAAAGTGTGATATATATGTCACTCTACATACATTAGTATACTGTTGCGTACATCGATATAATGCAAAAAAAAATGTGATATATGTCACTCTCCATCATGATTGTCACGTCGGTCGGCATGCCACTGGTTGAACAATTCAACCGGTACCGGTCATGAAATCGACATGACACCATTGGTATGACCGATATGATCGTTTTACGAATTTCTTAGTATAATACGTAGTTTTAGTGAATTTAAGTATGAGTACATGTAATTTTATTTGAAATATCATATTTTATTCAAATATCAATATGAATTGTACGTAAATTGTCTTCAAAAAATATGATTTATATAGGATTAAATTCATTTGATATGAATGATTAAACCGGTTGTACCACTGGTAAAACCATTCCACTTGCTAAACCGGTTTGATAACCTTTCTCTCCATATATTATTTATAGATGTAATGCAAAAACAAAAGCAAAATAATTATTGGATAAAAGAGAATTAAATATTAAATGAAGAGAGAGGGACAACTCCATAAATAGGTCAATAACTATTTTTTGGTAAAAAATTGTCCACCTTGGCCACTTGAGATCTCTCCAAGTGCTTATGTGGCAAAAATTTAATTTTGAATTGCCATAATATTATGTATAGATAGATAGATAGATAGATGAATGGCTAAACCTTGCTCTAGGTTCATTACAATCGCCGTAAAAGTACTAAATTATCCTACATTAATAAAATCAAATTAAAAAAAATACAAACCCCAAAAATTCCTAATGCTTCTTCGCCTCTTTATCGATAAGCAATTGGACCCTCTGCCAACCTTTTGCGCGTTTTTATTTCGCCGACGGCACCATCCACCCAACCTCCCAGGGATGAGTTAGGATAGTTACCAATTTTATATTAGTCATCGTGGCTACCTACATCTCCACCATTCATTCTCAATATTTTTAAACCGACGCTCATAATTAATTAGGGATAAGTTTGGAAAAAAATAATAGATACACCAGATTACCATCCTTAAAATATTACTTAACATATATTATGTAAACCCTAAATAATTATCTCTAACTCCAATCATCTGCATCTCCCCTTCCTCCCTATCCCTACCTGCCGAGAACATCCCGCCGCCTGCCACCGTCATCTTCCCAACCCCAACCCCAACCCACCGCCGCCCTTCTTCTCCCCTCCCTCTCCCTCTCCCTCCACGATCCACCACTCTCTCTCTCTCTATATATATATATATATATATATATATATATCACTCTCTCTACTCAGCGAGACCGAAGATATGTCGTTGATTTGGAGCATCGAATTCTCGGACGGATTTCAGATCGAGTTCTTTTCTATTGGTATTGATATTTTCATAGTTGTATTTCTTTTTTCATTGGTATTGAATATCATATAATTGTGTTTTTTTTTTTTTTTGCATTGTTATTATCTTAATGGTATTAATTTTCATGCATTGGTATTGTTAAATCTGCAATGATAGTTGTTAATAAGTGGTAGTGGTAGTGTTTTGTGTAACCTGCAGTGGTAGCTGTTCACGTTTTGGTATTGGTTTCTTGTTTTTTTTTCTTCTGCAATGGTATTGATTTTTTGTGAAATGGTATAGATTTATATTTATATTGTTAGATTGTTTATATTGGTAGTTTACGTGTAATGTTATATATTTACTTCTGCAATGGTATTGATGTATTTCAAAGTGGTAGTGGTTGTCTAATGGATTGGTATTTATTTCGTGTTTTTTTTTTTTTTTTTTTGCAGTTAGATTGAGAAAAATAAGGAAGGGAATCTAGCTGGAGATAAATACCATGTGTCAACTACCTAAAATTTGGATATTAATAAATTTTTGTAACTATCTAAAATGAAATTTATTAAAAAAATTAATTAATACTATTTATTTTCCCATTCCCAGTTTACTCTTCCTCCATCCTCCAATCAATATATGGAGGTTCCCAGCGAAGACCCACCCCATTCACTTTTTCCAGGCTTCTGCGCAAAAGGAGGAAGGGGTCCTTTGTCTTTTTACTTTTTAATTTTTTAATGCAGAAAACAGGCTTCTGTTTTTGCTGTGTATAATTGTGGGTCTAAATGTTTAATGGGCCTGGATAATTTTTAGGGTTTTTATTTAATTAAGGACGTTGGTTTCTTTTCTCTGCAAGCTTTATTGTTTTGATCTAAGCAGAAACTTAATATAGAAAAGGAAAATCAATTACACGGCAACATTATTAAACAATAATTTTAACAAAGTCAAAAATCAAAAACCAAAAAGACAGTAGTTATCTGAACTCAATCAAAAAAATCGCTATGTCGAAAGCCTTTATGACAATGGTTAAAAAAACTTTACCGTACCAACAACTCAACTAGAAAAACTTTATACCGGAAGTTAAATTGGTAGATGGTATTTTACGATATGCAACGGTTGAACTATGGTTAAACCACGATTTCAGCATGAAATAACCTATAACTGAATTTCCGGTACAATCTCCAATACGGTTTTTCAATCATTGCTTTATGGTCAAGCTTTCTTTTTTGCAAGAGAAGCCATTGAATTTAATTAATATGCTTCGATTAATTAAATTGGCATGAATTCATTGTTCCATGTCTTTTGCCAATTAGTTTTACACTAATTGACTATGCACCAAAATCACAACAACACATGGTTAGGATGGGTTATTCATCAAAGAACTACATATGTCTAAGGTTAGCCAAATTAATTTTTATATTATTTAGAATTATTTTTGGCAATTTGACACCTCTAAGTAATACTTTTCGTGGAGAACTATCTATGTCTGAAGCGCAAATAAGCTTTCAGATGGTATGACCATAGTGGAGGAGCTAAGTTGGAGGCAGGAGGGGCTATAGCTCCCCTTCCCATCCCCTCAAATTTGAAATATAAATAACCTTAAATATAAAATCCGCAACAAATTTAGTTAATAGAGTAGTCGATAAAGCTTTAGCCCCCTCCTCCAATTATAACGGTTCAAGTCAGCCCACTCATCAAATTTCTATCTCCGACATTGTTAATGAACATCTATGGTAACTATTAATTGCTTATGATTTCTAACCATTTTCCATTGTTCATCTCACAAAAGTATTGCTTTATATCTTACATTTTCATAAATTAATCCACACAAATAAGAGTTGAAGAGAATTGATCAACCATTAATAAGATCACCAAGAAGGAAATAAGCTCTTTACATAAGAAAAAAAAGGGAATTATCAACATTTCTAATGACAATCGATTGAGTACATGTTTGTTTTCAATCTATATATTATCCTACAAATAAGCAAATTGCAGTGATAGCGAAATAAAGCAAATTGCGGAAAATATTCATAAATTTTACGAGGTAAATTCTACTTAGCAAAAAATGGTGCTATATATTTGAAAATATTCTACAATTAGTTTTTTTAAATTCGATTAAATGCATGAGAAAAAAGAAGAGATCATTGGAATACAATAAAATATGGAATAGACAGCTGATAATTGATATGGAGGTGCCAGTGTCACTGATGGAGATGAATGTGTTGTTATTGATGGAGATTATGATTTGCTCATGGCAGAGGAAACCAAACAAAGCCAAGAAAATATGCAGTAATTTCTATCAAAGTGGAGTAAATAGAAGTGTCATTTTCATAAGTTTTTAGGAGTTGGCTCCTTGGTTCGAAGTCTGCCTTTTATGTAAAGGATTTTAGCTGATGAACTGGTTAGGATGCTAGAAATTACTATGATGTTAATCCTTTTGAATGTAGTTACCAATTGCTAAATAATTTTTTTTTACAATGATTACTAAATAATTTGAATTCTCTTATTCTACCAAATAAAAATATATTTTGTTTGACTTTTGCTACTCATTATTTTGCGACATGTAAAATGAATCCGACCAACTGGCCAGGTCCATATTGCTTCGAACAAATTGCTATTATTGTTTATACCATTTATGAAATGCATCCGGCCAACGGGCCGGGTAGTGCGAAGACGATGTGCGGACAGCAACATGGAATGATTTATATCTACAACAAAATAGATACTTTAATAAGGAAATACGATCTAAAATTCCTACGAAATTCCCTTACTTTCTTTAAACTGTATATAATATGCCCAATTCAGATCATCATTCCTTTTATGTATTAAGTCCCTAATTTTCTACAGGGTCGCATGGAAACTTAGTGGGACCGCCGGAACAACCCAAGAGAATGGCGACAGGCAGAGGCGGTGGAATCAGGGTTTGCTGATTAACCGAGTCAACTAATTTTGCCGATTAATCCGGTGAACCGGTTATGACTCATCTAGCTAGATTTCTTATCGCCCATTTGTTGCTGTACAGCTCAGATTGCGTCCCAAGCACAATAATACACAGCATGAGTAACTGAGTTTCCACGAAGTTCAGTTACTTTGCTTCCCTTTAATTTTAATAACCGAGGCTAGCACGAAATACTACAGAAAGTACATCGAACGAAGCCCAACAGCACTCCACCAAATCCTATCACTCCACTGGAAACACACCTAAATTCTTTGCAATACTGGGAAACCTCGGTCTCTTTCCGAGTGTGCCGTCTCCATCAGATAGGAGCTGAATAGTAAAATAAAACAGATCAACCGCATACATGAATATCACAGGTTCCCATTTTCATTTCTACAGCTGGAGTTTACACCATAAACTTTATAATGTATCCAATGTGTATATCACAGGACTTGAACCAAATCAGTCCCTTTTCTATACAACTTCTAGATAACTTCTCTGACATGATACTCGGGCACAGCTTCACAGGCTTGCTTTCTCCAAAGTGTACGAATCTCAAATGTCAGATTTAATCTCCAAATTGCCAACATCCTAGAGCAGCATCTCTGTCATCATATTCATACACAAATTAAGTGGTGACCATCCATTCCACTTTCTCAAACATCTCTCGGGAACCGAAGAGACACCGAAACCACCCAAACCAAGATGCCCAATAAACAAAAAAGAACACCTCCATATCGTGCAAACAATCACAGGTTGCTGCAAAACTAGAGTGAGGATTATACTTACATTAGTAGTAAGATCCTGAATCACCAGAACCCATGTAACCGCTGCTGCTGCCCATCCCACGACTAGAGTACATAGATGAGTAAGAACTACCTCCAACCTAGAAGAGTCAGGAATTAGATACAAGAATTGAGCGGTTATCATTTATATCACAAAGGTGAAAGGCATACATCACTCCTGCGAGACATGTAATCGCCACCATAATTTGAAGGGTACACTCCACCACCATCACTGCTCCCATAAGAACCTGACAACATCATGGTGGAGTCATTTAACTGTGACTCTGTGAGATGTGGAGCACAAGAGAGTTTATTAATGCTTGTAGAAAAAGAAACCAACCTCCGTAAGTTGTACCATGTCGCTCGCCATACATCCCACGCGAATCATGACTGGACATGGAACTTCTGCCGCTCCCATATCCCAAGTTCGATCTACCAAGTCGACTAATGAAGGGAAAGTATAAGTGACTACCAATTATTGAGCTCAACAAAATGCACTATAAACAAAACTAGATAAAGCAACGAACCTATCACTATAGGCTTCCCCGTATTGAGAAGAAGCAGGACCGAGTTCATATTCTACACGAGCCCTCGAATGACGAGCACCAGAATCAGCATAATGTGGAGGAATGTCAGCCTTGAAGCCATGAAAAGAATGTGTCACACAAACATTTCAGTAATTTGTTGAATGTGAAGAATCCTTAGACAGAGAAGACAATGGAGACTAGAAATCAATAACCAACCATCATAGAATAAGGACGTTTTGAACCAGAGAAAGAGTCATAATCACGAGCACGTCCTTCACGATAACTTGGAGGGGGCCTTTCAAATCTCTGGACATAGGCCTCATCCACATAAGCTCTCCTGGCAGATCCACGAGAACTACTTCTAGGAAGATCAGGGTACCCAGAACCTCGTAAAGAATATTCATCTCTATAGGATTGGCGTCTCTCTGGAATATCCCTGGAAGAGTAATCAATGGCAGCTCGGCTTCTTGGCGGTGGTACTTCATCACGGCGAGTATATTCCCTTTTCAAGCTACTCTTCGGGTATGATGGAACTGAAAAATACAAGCATACATTATTAAGTATTTGGGGAGTCTGAACAAACGTACAACAAAGGAGTTGAATTGATACAGACCAGGTGCCCTTCTATCATAAGACCGAGGAGGAGCCAGAGGCCTGCTTCTTGCTGGTTCAGACGTCACAGGAGCATGACGCTCTCGCGGTCCAGCATGCCTTCTCACAGAGGGTGGCGGGATACGACTTCCAGCCATTCTCACCGAACGGGAAGTCAGGCTACGTGGGGCAGACCTAACCCATGGACCCCTGCTACCAGTTCGGCGTCCAGGACGAACATCTTTACGGCTCAAATGTTTACCTTTTCCTCTCTCAAGAGGCCTTGACAACCGAGCCCTAACTTTAGCCTGATATATAACGCCACAATGAAAGCGTTCCAAAGCTGAACCATCAATTGGTTAATGCTCAAAAACAGTAAAAGCAAGGGGTGCTACAAACCTTACTATCTCCTTTACCAATGTTTTCATTGTTGATACTTTTCGCACAGGTTACTGCAGCCTCATGACTGTCAAAGGTGACAAAACCAAAATCTTTCCGCTTGGCTGATGGCATATTTCTAGCAAGTTCAACCTTCTCAATCTTTCCATACACCTTTAATAGCTCCCGGACATGGTCCTCGTCCCATGAAGAAGGAAGGCCATCAATAAATACAGTCTTCACCTGAATTCACAAAATAAACTGAAATCAACCATACACAACACCCAGAGGCATGATTGTTACACTTTTCACACTATGATAGTACAGAAGTAATGTAAGAACTTCAAAGTAGTGCAAAACTTAAATATGTGGAATAAAAACACAGGTGTACAAACAAAAGTGGGTGAAGTTCCATCACAGGTTCCACTGAAAATGCTCACTTCAACAAAAAGAGAGTAAGACTAAAGGATTTGTTGGCTAGTGAGATTCCTATCACCATAAAATGAGAAATCCGTAGTGTAGTTATGTCAACTAACCCAGCCATTGTTGAAATGCGTACTTCAGAACAGTTGAGTGAAGGATACCTGTGCCATTATTTCATCCCCAATGTCAATGAAGGAATCAGCAAAAGAAACCTTTGCTCGCTTATCAACTCCAAATAAAACATCCTTCTTCTGCAGACGCTTAAGAGCATCGATGGCATCTGACCGACATGAGAATTCCACAAAAGCATACCCTCGGTTCATCCCTCCACTGTTACTATCTTCAACCAGGGCCAAGTGCTCAACATTATCAACTCCATAATGTTTCAATTTCTCTTTCAACTGGAACCAAATTCAATGGCCACATATCAGGAGCATATCACTTATCCTTGGTCAAGAAAACTTGAAACACTGACAGCGACCTCCTTAAATATGCCCAATATACTTACAGCGTCCTTCGTCCATGTCTTGCAGATGTTTCCCAAGAAAAGGGTGTCACTGTCTTTACTAGGACTAACACCACAATGTTTCCCGTTAATCTGGAAGCGCAATCATTAAAATGTAATTTAGGTTGTGTGGCGAATTTGCATGACATTCAAGAAATCTTGTGATGAAATTTACCACTGGATTCTTCAACTCAGTAACAGCCCGTTTGGCTTGTTCAACACTAGAAAACCGCAGGAATGCAAACCCTTTGTTTTTCTTCGTCTGTGGATTCATCATCAGTCGCACTTCAGTGATCTCGCCAACTCGACCGAAAACTTTCCGAAGATCGCTCTCAGTGGCATCCTTATCCAGACCGCCAACAAAGACCTCAAACTCCTTACGCTTGCGCCTCTCCTTAAAAACTTCATGGTGCTCATCCTCTTCAGTTGCATCTACCATCTCAGTATGTTCTTCACCAGTAGGATCATCATACTCGTCAACCTCAACTTCTTCAGGAACCTCCTCCAGTTCCTCCTCCTCCTCCTCCTCCTCCACCACCACCAGATCACCCTCTTCCTCTTCCACTCCATTATCTTCCTCTAGCTCTTCTACCCCTTCCTCCCCAACCCCCTGGTCATCATCTTCGTCAATTTCCTTCTCATCGTAGTCTTCAACGCCGTATTCTTCAGGTTCATATTCATGCTCATTATCATCAAGCTCTAACCGTTCATCCTTTTCATAATCCTCAACAAACTCTTTTGCTTCTTCATCTTCTGCCAGGAAAAGGGGTTGAGGGTCCAGTGATTTCAAAAATACAATCCTCGGTTACCCTCGACAAATTTTGCAACCATTTAAGATTTAGAGGTTGTAATCTCTAGTATGATCATAGGCACATGTCATCCTTTAAGCAACAATTGATTCCTAAGACTCTGAACCAACCGAAACGTAAACTCTACAAAGCCCACTAGACCGAGCAAGAGGAGATTTCGACAAAAGTAATAAATAAAAAATCCTCCACCTAGTGAACTACGGATTTAGGAAAAGGCCAAAGCCAACAAGAATCGGCTGGAGCTCGTAACACCAAAGCAATATGGAAACTATAATTGAGGGATAGCGGAAATCAGGCAGATGGGAATGTAATGGAAGAGGTTAGCGACTGATGCACATAGAAGCGCATGTCATGAATCTAAAACCACGATAAGGATATAGCCCAATTCAGCCATAAAGAGGAGCAAGATAAAAAGGTGCATACTTTTCAACGATGACGAGCTCTTAAGGTTCGATTTGGATCCCTCATCAGCTTCAAGAACCGACTTTCGTTCAACGACTGGTTTGTCGTCAACCTCCAGCTTCTCCTGGAGAACAGGCTTTTCATCGATGATTGTTCCTTCCTCTATCTTTGGGACCTCTTCGACAGCTTCGGGCTGATGATTCTGGGTCTTGCTGGTCCCTCGCGCGGCTCTACCGCCCTTCTTAGATCCAGATGCCGCCGCTCCGCGCTTCAGGATTCGTGGAGGCATCGCTTGCTGCAGGCTTCCAAACGAGCTTGCTGCAGGCTTCCAAACGAGCTTGCTGAAGAAAGATTTTTGTGAACCTAAAACCCTAAAGCCTTGCAGAATGAGATGAATATGAATTGAGAACCTTGTGTTATGTCGTGAATTGTTTCCAGGAGAAAGACAAACCCTAGCTCCATCCGCGATGGAATTTACTTTTCTGTTTTCTTTTTTGCGATTATTTGCTCCTCTTGCGTAGTTTTGACTTTTGATCTTCATTTTCCCAAATCGGGAAGTTTCATTTTTTTTTTTTAATCTACCGTCGACGACAGGTGTCCTCTTCATGCACCGCAATGACTAACTTCATCTCTTCTTCTTTTTTCTCGATTTACATTATATATACTTCTTAAAATACAGAGTTAATACCTTATTTTGGGACCGGATCCCCTCAGTAACCATAGCATCAGTAACCGTCAGTAACCGCCCTATCCACCGTCCATTCCATCATCTTTTCAACCGTCAGATCATGCAAAGTAACTACACGGGGTGGCAAAATAGTAATCTTCGGTCTGACAATTTGAAAAGAAGACGTGACATTAAACCGTGCCGCCTTCTTTCTCTCACCTTTCACGCGACAGTTCTACTTCCCTCTCCTCTTTAACTCTCCATTCTTCATCCAATCGCGCACCAAAAACTTCAGAAAACACAAAAGAAACTTCAAATATCGAAGGATTTTCGCAAAGGTTTTCGAATAATCATTCAACGATACACTATTCTCGCTTCTTCGTCGAAAAACGAAGGGTTTCCAACTTCAACGAGGCTCAAAAATCGTTTTCGCACAAAATATCAAGGTAAAACCTCATTTCTTTCTTCGAAATCCATCCACAGAACAATAGAAACAGTATTTCAGTCACTCTTCATGTGAAAATTGTAGTAAACTCGCTACATTACCGAATCGTTACCATGCGTTGCTGAACTGGTGTAGAATCTATTGTGTTTTGCTTCGTTACCACAAGTATGGTGTGGTAAGCTATGATTGCATGTTATAAAAAGGCAAGAAACCGTAACTCCTGCTGTGTTTTAGTTTGTTACCATATGGTAATGTGTGGTAAGCTATGGTTTCATGTTGTAAAATAGCAAAAAACCATAAGTCCTTCTGTGTTTTAGTTTGTTACTATATGGTAATGTGTGGTAAGCTATGGTTTCATGTTGTAAAATAGCAAAAAACCATAAGTCCTTCTGTGTTTTAGTTTGTTACCATATGGTAATGTGTGGTAAGCTATGGTTTCATGTTGTAAAATAGCAAAAAACCATAAGTCCTTCTGTGTTTTAGTTTGTTACCATATGGTAAGGTGTGGTAAGCTATGGTTTCATGTTATAAAAAATGGAGGAAACCATAAGTCCTTCTGTGTTTTAGTTTGTTACCATATGGTAAGGTGTGGTAAGTTATAGTTTCATGTTATAAAAATGGAGGAAACCATAAGTCCTGTTGTGTTTTAGTTTGTTACAATATGGTAAGGTGTGGTAAGCTATGGTTTCATGTTATAAAAATGGAGGAAAACATAAGTCCTGTTGTGTTTTACTTCGTTACCATATGGTAAGATCATCCTACTATCCAACCTTGTAAGGTCATCCTCCAATATGAAGACATCAAACATTCCTACATGTCCTTCTGGTTCTATCTTCGTATTTGAAAAAATATTATATGCAAGAGATTCCTTGTACTGATCCAGGAAAAACTTAAATATCTTCGCCGTATACACATTAGCAACTTGCTTCACAATAGGGCTAGTAGAAAACCGAGAATCAGCCAACCTAGATAAGGTATAGTACTCTTCTTGTTCTTCAGCATCCCTCTTATTATCAAGCATCCTCTCAAAGTGCACAAAGAATCTACTAACGCTAAACTCTGCCTGCAAGTAATGTCGAATATTACTATTGCAGCACTCACTTAGCTGGGTACTCTTCATTCCTGCACCAAAATAACAATTCAACCAGGCTGAAGACCACTTCTTCCTGACTTTGTAAATGCCATGTAACCAACTGTGTCCCAAAGGTCCCTTCCCAGGAAAACACTTCTCAATCATCTTCTTCCAATTATACTCAAAATCATCCTCATCATCAGCATTATACATCAAATAACTAAGCTCACGAAGGAAGTCAGAGTCACACAAACTTCCCAGATTAAGAACTGCATTCTAAGCAATATGCCATGTACACAACCCATGAAAACAATCTGGGAAAACAGACCTTATACCAGCAGCAATTGCAGCAGCCTGGTCAGTAAACATTGATAACGGTCTCACACCTCCCATGCATTTCAAAAACTGATCGAAAAGCCATTCAAATGTTGTCGTTGTTTCATCATATAGAAGAGCAGCCGCAAAGACAGTCAGTTGGTGATGATTGTTGAAACCAACAAACAAAGCTACAAAAACATAAGAAAATGTGAGTAAAAACAATTCTACCAACACATACCATGTGGTAAAAGGTACGAATAACAATAATACCAACCCGTACCATATGGTAAAGACTTCTAAGAACAAAAAAAAAAATCCATACCAGACCATACCATATAGTACAGACTTCTAACAACGCAAAAACCACCTCAAATAACCTTGTTACCAACCCATACTATATGGTAAAAGACTTTTAAGAACAAAAACACAATCCATACCAGCCCATACCATATAGTACAGACTTCTAACAACGCAAAAACCACCTCAAATAACCTTGTTACCAACACATACCATATGGTAAAATACTTTTAAGAACAAAAAAGCAATCCATACCAACCCATACCATATGGTACAGACTTTTAAGAACAAAATAACCATGATACAGAATGATAATAATAATAAAAATCATACAAACTCACAAAGACAATAATAAACAACAAACTAGAAAACATACCTAGTGGCCGATACTCTTTGTTAGTCCGGTAAGTAGTATCAAAACTAATTGAATCACCAAAATAATGATAATCCATCCTCATCTTCCCATCTGCCCAAAAAATACTAGCAATGTTCTCTTCAACATCAACCTCCACCTCATGAAAGAACCCAGGATCCAGCTGTGCTTGACGTCTAAAGTATTCAAGCAATGCAGTCGCATCACCATACTCCATTGATAACGTCCTCACCGTTCGCAGATGGTTCTTCAAATCATTCTTTGTGAACCCAACAAACTTCCGACCACCACCAGCCCTACTAATTGCATTATACGAAGAAGTCACATCAATACCAGCAGCATCATTCATCTCTGCCAACATCTTATACACAGGAGCCATTCGTCTGCTGGATCTCACATAGTGACGCAGAGGCTCGGGAATCATGTCATAGTTGTGCACATTATACCAACGATAGATCTTGTAGCATTTAAACTCTTTAAACCACCTCAGTCGTATATAAGCACCATTACATCCACCCCTGAGTTCTGGAACATTACGAACACGAACATTCGTATCAACAACACCTGCATTATCAGGGTTATTCTCGCTACCTCTTCTCCAACCTTCCTTATTGCAACAATACTTGATATAATATACAGCTGAAGAATCAGCATTGAGCTTCGGACACGCTGATTGGTTATAAATCCTCACACCAAAACCTTCATGATTCCCATAATCCACATAGAAATTGTATGCATCATCTGGTGTATTAAACTGTAAGTTCTTCCAAGAATCACGAACAGTAGGATATATACCATTGAAACCTATAAACATTATGAAGCAATATATTAAATATGTAAAAATATAATACCACCATGGTATAATAAGGTAAAGTGTATTCAATTTACAAAAACAACCATGGTATACTGTTTTACCACTAGGTAAAGTGTATTTTATGACTAAATACCAGCAATTACCACCATAGTATAATATGGTAAAATGATTCCACAACTACAAAATCGCATATCAGCATATACCAATGATTACCACTATGGTATGATATGGTAAAATGAATTCCACGCCACAAGAGAATCACATATCATCATATACCAATGATTACCACTATGGTATGATATGGTAAAATGAATTCCACGCCACAACGGAATCACATCTCACAATATACCAATGATTACCACTATGGTATGATATGATACAAGAATTACCACCATGGTATGATATGGTAAAATGAATTCCACGCCACAACAGAATCACATCTCACAATATACCAATGATTACCACTATGGTATGATAAGGTAAAAGTTAAATACAGAGCACAATAATATAACAGCACAACATTATGGTATCACCTCTCAGCGTATACCAGTAATTACCACCATGGTAAAATATGGTATCTAACACATTAAAACTTCAATTTAACAAACAAATTTGTATATCTTACCTCCTGATTCATCAAAGTTAGCTGAATCACCAAATCCAACAACGCTAGATGAAGAACTATTTCCAACAACGCTAGATGAAGAACCAAATCCTTCACCGCTAGATGAAGAAACAGATCTATCGAATGGAACAACATCGCCACAATTAACGTAACTCATTTCACCAGAGTACTGCAAAAACACAAACAACATAAACATGAACAAGCTCGATTAGCTAAACAGAAACACAAAGAAACTCACTCAGTCGAGGTCAAAGCCATATTCACTAGCAATTATCGCAACGAATAACATACAACGAAACCAAAGATCGACAGAACGCTCAACGAAACCAAAGATCGACAGAAAGCTCAACGAACCAAAGATCGACAGAAAGCTCAACGAATCACGCCAGGTTAAAAAGTTAACGACAGAACAGGAAGAATCAGAAAAACTAATATCTAACCAGAGATAAACTCGCCGTCGATTTAGGTAATCCACCTAAGTTCTCGCCGTCGATCAATTATGGAGATTCCTCAAAAAAACAAGATCAATTATGGAGAGAAAAATTCTCCATAGCTCGGTCCCCTGTTTTGCTGCTCGCACTTTCTCTCTCCAAATCCCAGCTCGCAACGGATAAAAGGGAAACTCATTAATTCAAATAACGGACAAAAATGCCCCTGACAATCCCGCTTCAATGACAGCCACACGATCCGTCCGCCCCAGATCAACGGTTCCTAGGTGGTTACTGACGGATGAGTAACAAACGGTTACTCACCCTATCCCAAGCCCTTATTTTGGCATCAACTATGATCATATAATCAACTTTAGTCCGTGGTTTCAGAAATTAACATCCTAGCCTCAAATATGTAATATATAGACTCAATTGGCCCGATGCTT